ATCCAAAATTATATACAAAAAATAAGTAAATTTTAAATTTTAAATTTTTTATTATTTATTAATTTATTTTTAATATAGATTATTAATTTAATAGATTTTTTTAATAATGATCATATTATGATCCTTTGTATGACCAAAGAACAAGCTATTTGACTTCAAGAAATAACTTATTTTCACATAGATCTTACATATAAATTTGCATAAAGAGAAATTAATATGTTTGAACTTAATGAATATGATGAGAATCATCAATTAAGTATGTATATTTTTTTATATGAATTAATTTTATATTTATTAAAATATTTACTAACATAATTATTAATATATAGGATTAACTTTTGCTAGAGTTTTTACAAATATGTTTGATGCAAATGTATACAAATGTATATTTTTAATGATTATTGATACTATAAAAAATTTAACCAATACATCAATAAAATTCAGCATGTACATAATGAAGGTTGGAGCTGTATTTTCAGAGATCTTGATTTTGTGCAAGCTAAAGAGCTTGGATTAGCATTATCAGAAATTAATTCAAATAAGAGTTGGTCTGAACATCTTATTTGTATTTTTAAAACCTGCCGATTACACTAATAGAAGGTATTTATATTTTATTATTATTTATATATTTATTTATTTAATTATATATTTATTTATTTATTTATTTAAAAAATTAATAAATTTTTAATTTAGAAATATTTTAAATCAAAAATATTCTAATAAAACTAAACATTATATGCAAATTATATTAATGGCTAAAAGTCAAGATGAAGTTCAAAGTTTATTTATCAAATTGAAATTTCTAATGAAAATGGCATTAAAAGTAAATTTTACTAATAATTAATAAAATAATATATTATTTGTTTAATAATATATATTTTATTTATTATTTAGATTGAATTGAATTTTATAATCAACCTTAGATTTTAACAAGTTAAAATCAATATTATTCTCAAATAAATATTACAATATGGTGTATCGCAGATAAAACTATCAATGTTGCAGAATCTGCACATACTAATATCAATCATGAAGGAAAAGGATTAAATGTAATCAATGCTATTGAAAAGTAAATTTATATATTTATTTTATTTACAATTTATTATAATAAATATTAATATTTTTAATAATTTAGAGTATTAAGATTTGATAATTGAAAATTTATAACTTGTACAGTTTAAGATAAATATGGAGTAGCTAAAACTGGTAAAAATAATAAACCTGTAGCAAAAGCTACACAATCAATAAAACAGCATGGTAAATAAAATTTAAATTAAAGTAGTTAAATTATTTTAATAAATATTTATAATTTTAAATTTTACAGATAAAAAAAGAGATCTAAAAAACAATTAACAAATAAAAAGAAACATAATAAATCTATTGTTAATGAAAAAGAAGATTCATTAATCTTATAAGAATGGCAAATAGCTTTAGAAGAATAGCGATTAGAACTTGAAGAAAGAAAAGAAAAACTTTGAGAAAAAAAGCTTTTAAATAATGAAAAAGCACATAAATTAGGTGTCAAAGAAGAATTAGAGTATAATAGTTAAAAATTATACTATTGTAATATTAAATTTTTTTTTTTTACCTTCGCAATGTTGCTGAAGAGCAAATTTTTATTAGGTATATTAGTAGTATATTCTTGGTTAACAAGAGTACATTCTAGCCATACCTGCGCCTTTTGAACGCCTAATTAAGTAGCTACCTATTACTAGGGTCTACACTAGATGCAGTACCTATAACCACTATTACTTAAGCTATCCAATTAAACTCTCTGATAAACTTAGCACCATCAGATATTTTTCTCAAAGAGAAACTGCCACTAAGGCCCCTTAGGACTACTTTATCCTTATGGTAAACCTACTAGAGTAGTCTATGTTTTATATATATATCACCTAACTTACATCTAAACTGAGACCAAGTATTTGAGATATTTCTCTACTACTATTACTTACTTCTTGTCTTTGCAAAGTTTATCCAAACCCTAGTATACACTCTACAGACTAACACCAACTTTCCTTCACTAACAGTATTTCAAACTCCTAATTCAGATAACCAGAAAAAGAACAGTAGACATCATCTTAGTATTTGAATAAATTCTTTTTCCTCATTTATACAGGACTACCTCTGTATACTCATAGCATAGTTGGTATTAGTGTCTTGCCAAACATCCAGTCCTCATTTAGTTTACTGCTGATGTCTGATTATTAATGCTCTTCCTTTATGTAGTACTATCAACGATCTGTGCTACCTCTCTACTTGGGACTTGCCAAGTGAGATTCTATATGCTCCAGCCTTGGATTTACACAAATGTTTTACTCAAATTTTGTGTAACTCTTGCATCACATTATAGTTCTATATTCTTTTAATACAAGCTAGTACAACCAAAGCTACAGATCTGATGATTCATCAGATTATACACAGTTTGCTGTAACATATTCCTTAAATTCAAATTTTGTCGCTAATAGAATTCAAACTCTTGTCTTGCCACTTGGAGGTGCGACAACTTACCAACTACACTAAGTTGCTACACTCTACTTTTAAAAATATTTAATATTAAAATTTTATATATAATATATACATTTGGCTGGTATAATTTTCAGTCAATCACAGGCTTGTGTTTTACTAAAATCCTGATTCACAGATTTTCTATAATGTGTAATGTATAGATTTTGCTAATTACAGTAATTTAAAAAGCAATATAAGCCATTTTTGAGTTATAATAAGAGAGGTGATATTAACTATGATGGCAAATTAGCAATATTCTTTTTATAACTCTATTTAATATTAAGTAAATACAATACTAACTCAATACATTATATTTATTTTTTTAGTTAATGCTAATAAAATTTGAATAACAATTGAAATACAGACTATTTACTGTAGCAAAATTAAGCTTTGATTTATGAGAAAATTTTAAGTTTTTTGTTGAGTTGAGTCTGTAAGCTTCTGATAGGCCAAAGTCTTAATTATTAAAATCAGTTTAGTTTTTAGTATGCATTATAAAATGAACCATTTTCAATATTATCTGAAACAATAAGTAATAAATATTTGAATATTTTTTTATCTTCATTAAACTCTGCTCTTCTGGATTCAATTAACTATGTATTAGAATTATATATTACGGATTTTGAAAATTTGAAGTTTTATACAAATTCATATAAAACTTCAAATAATCAAAAATTTAGATTTACAGCTGTTTTTATAATTTCTAAAACATATAATAAAAATTTGCTAAATGATTTTTTAGTTATTATAATTAATTATTAATTTTGGCATAATCAATATATAATAATAAATTATAATTTATATTATATTATATATATATAAATTATAATGTAATTTGAAATATAGATGTTAGACACATATTTAAATGAAAATTTAGTAATATTGCCAACTTTATAATATTAAAATTATCATAGAAAAGTATCATATATAATAGATATATCTTTTATATATGGAATATCAGTATGTAGAGTGGAAATTTGTATATAAATTTCTAATATTTAATTTTTGTTATATAAATAATGTTGTTTAGAATTTTTATCAAGCTAGCACACAAGTCTAATAATGCTGGCAAAAAATTTTTATAATGCAGATCAATAATCATGAGCTACTGTATTAATTAATATAAAGTTATGTATATATATATAATTTGTAATTTATTAACTCTATTATGTATGCTGAAATAATAACTTAACCAAATCAGTTGGTAAATTTTTATCAAGTGTTTTAGAAATTATGAAAACAGCTATAGATTTTATATATTATGAATATCTGATTATAATTAAAAATATAGTTATCTGTAATATATAACAAGTCAATTTTCACAAATATAAGTGTGTTGTTTTACTATATTAAAAAGTTTTGCATTATACAACCAGTTTATATTTTTTTTGAGTAATGTGGCAGTTATTTTAGGTTAAAGATGATTTTTTTTATTGTTATAATAAATGATAGTTAGTACATAATGATTATGCAGCAAGTCATTGGCCAATATTAGTGAGAACAGCAAAGACATCTCAAAAATTGCAACAATTATTGTATTGAGAGTTGCTATAGAGTTTGCTAGCCAGTAGTTTCTTGTCTGCTGAAGCAGACCAGATGTGAATAGATAAATAATCATATATAGAAGGAGAAATGGTACAGAGAAGTGACAAAACTTTTTATACATCTAAGAACTTAGCTTATAATTCAAAAACCTACCAATTAATTTATATACTTGATTTGTCTATATGAATTCTTATTACTTGATGATTATGTCATATCATTTTTAGATCACATACTTGCATAATCAGAAAGTTATTTAACTTTACTTTTAGGGTTTTATAGATGATGTAAGTGTTTATGTTTTTTATAAATATTTCAATAACTGTTGCAAATTAAAATGAAATCTAATTAAAATGAAACTGAGGACCTCTTATGCCCACCTTTAGAGCTTATAAAACCTATATATACTTATTTATTAATAAACCTAACTCTAAACACTACCTCTAATGCTAAAAAGAACCCCAAAAAATATTATCCAAAAAATTTTAAATTTTTTTTAAAAAACAAAAAAATTTCATTTTAATCAGATTTCATTTTAATCTGTGACAATAACTATTAATTCAATTTTAATAACTATATAGCTATATAACATCATCATGCAAAATTATGAATGAAAGATTGGATAATAGTTAATTTGAATAAATAATATAATGATAAAAATATAAATAGGTTTGATTAATTTAACTAGAATATAGAAAAGGTATAATAAAAAAAACTTAATTGTTTTATAGTAGCGATTATTTAATATATTTTGTATATAATTAATAAAGTTTTGTTGATTCAATAATATAATGATAGATTAGGATATTAATTTATTTTGTTAGATATTGATGTATATATATAAATTATAAATATATATATAAGGATGTATATAGTATATGTTGGAATAGAATTATAATAGGTTTAAAAACCATCTAGATTAATTTTGAATATATACTGTATATACTATATGTAAAAAAATTGGGCTATTATATAAACAGCACATCACAAGATATACTTATTAATAAAATACTTGTATTGCTTGTAATATAGTGCTTTAAGTATGATAATAAATACTTGGTTGATTTCTTTTAATGCTTATAACTCTAAGCTAAATTGGCTGGTTAATATAAAAGCTCTCTCCTGGCTATAATAGTATTTATCAGAGATGCAAGAATACCAAGCAATTCTATAACAACAAGTTGGAAGAATAATGAGAGTTAAATCTATGAAGATGTTTCAATCAGTCTATCAACTATTTCTAAGATGCTAATTTTATAATCTACTATATTCAACAATTTATCATCACAAAGCCCATATAAAGAATTTTTTATAATGATAGTTTTTAATTTTCTAAAGCCAAGATAATATTGCAAAATTCTTTGAAATATTCTTTATCTACCAATTTGAATCATCTAAGTTGCTCTTGTAAACTAATAATAAATATAAGTAGGTAAAATACTAAGAGTTTACAATCAGAGTCAGTTTTTGAAAACATTAATTTCATAGCACCTTTTGCTAAGATTTTTATGTTTGAGAATGCATATTCAGATGGATACCACTAAATAAGCTACGATGTGGTATTAAAATTAACTCAAGAATCTGAATATACATTTCTATAGACTGGTTAGGTAAAAAAATAATAAACAAAATGTGCTTAAGTAATGATTATATATAAGATAGCTGAAGAATCAAGTATTTTTTTAATGATTATATTATGTAATAATCTTAAAAATTGCTAATAAAATCAGGATATAATGTTTTAAGTTTAATACAGAACTTTAACCTTAATTATTTCAGCTTTTAGTGATTAAAATCGAATAATTTTTTATTTAAAAGTATATTTTCTTTTTTACAAAATAAAAATTTAAAGTCCATTATTGGTTGGCAAAATAATTAAAATATACTAATATGAATAATATTTTACATATTAGAATAGATTATTTAAATTATCTTTATAACTAGTGATTAGTATTTAATAATTTTTTTATATTTTATAAAGAAAATATATATCTATTAAATAAAAAAAATTATTTGTCTTAGACTAATAATTATTGAGAAAATTAGCTTAAAAGATTGAACTATAAAATTTTTGTTTTATTAAATTTTAGTTAATTACTAATTAAAATTGTATGAAACCTATACAATAAGATAGAAAAAAACTTTATTTATAAAATAGTATAATATTATTAAAATTGAATTAATAGTTATTGAAATATTTACAAAAAAATATAAACACTTACATTATCTATCAAAACCCTAAAAGTAAAGTTAAATAACTTGCTAATTATACAAGTATGTGATCTAAAAATAATATGATATAATCATCAAGTGATAAAGATTCATATAGACAAATCAAGAACATAAATTAGTTAGTAAGTTTTTGAGTTATAAGCCAAGTCCTTAGATGTGTAAAAAGTTTTGTCACCCCTATAGTATCATGTAGTTATCCATCAGAGTGGGTGGGTAAGTCAGGAAATCTTTATTCATTATAAATCTAATGCTGTTAGAACTTGTACTCTAGCTTTAATCATAAATACTGTAACGAGTTAAAAACTTAATTCTTTATTTTATGTATTATTGTAAATAAATCTTCTATTTTTCTTAGCAAAATATCTGCATATATATAGTTTATTAGTAAGTTCCCATCTCTTCTGGTAACAATGCCAAATTTATTAATAAAGTAGCTGCATGATGCTGTTATATAACACCAAAAATGTAAATTTATAAATGAGCCAGAGATTTTATGCAATGTAGCATCTTTTCTAGACCAGTTTAATAATTGCAAATCATGTTCCACATGTGATGTAATTGTAAAGTGTATTTTTAATTATTAATATAGTATTTTATAATTTTTTGCTTGCCATATCTGTATTCATAATCACTAATTAGAAGATTATAATATTGGCATAATCTACAAATTTAATATGTTACAAATCACAATAGATTACAAATCTACATACCATTGAAATTATGAATTGCCTGCTATTAAAATTACAAATCTATCCTCTACTAAATTATGAATCTTCTATTAAAGTTACAAATCTATTTACTGTTCAATTGTTAAAATTGAATTTTAGTAAAATAGTTTACTAATTATTTAATATAAAAGTTATGCCATAATTTTTTGATAAAAAAAACTGCTATATATAAAAATAAATAAAATTTGATATATTTTTAATCCTATTAAATATTGACCACCCAATGCTTTATAGTTTAAGTTTCTACTAAACAATAAATAATCAAAGTTTAAATGTAAACAACTTTGTTTATCTAAATCAACTTTCAGAAATTAAATAAACTTTTATTAATTCAGTTTTTAATATATGTAGAATGAATACAAGCTTATTTTTCATCTAATGTAAAATAAAAAGTTTTTAATAAATTTTCATTAAAATTACACAAAAATTTCAAAATATGTATAATTTGTTATGCTGATCAACTTTGCTTAATATTTAAAATCAAATTACTTAGTAAAATTTTGACTTTTATATATAACAACTATTTGTGATCATAAAATATTTACTTCTATATAATCATGTTATAAATATTTTACATATGATTGTTACTATATATTTTATTATCACACTCATTCATAATCACATTTTTATGTAACAAACTGGGTGATTATATAGGAGGATGACTTATTTGAATATATTATTCATCAGATTAGACCTTTATTTTAGAATTTTACTAACTATAACCAGTAGTTATCATCACTGGTATATAATTAGCCAATAAAATTGCAAAATCAGGTGCAACATGCAAATCAATTTGTGTAATCAAAATAAAGATTTTTAAAAAAATGCTGATATCCCAAGAATTTGCCTATAAAACTACCTTCGACGTTCTAACAAAAAAAATTTCTTGCTAAATTTCACATATATCTAATACCTTGCTAAAATCCCAGGCCTTTCCCTAACTCTAAAGTAAATAAAATGAAATATTTTTTTAGTTTATCATTATTGGCTAATTATACTCAGTGATGATCACCACCAGTTATTTTAAGTAAAAATCTTTATTTTAAATAATAAATAAATTTATTAATAAAAACTAAATATTTCTTTATAAAAAATTAAAATAAAAAATGTTAGAAAAACTAAATTAGTTATAAATATTAAAATTTAAGCAAAAACATTTATAGGAAATTTAGCTGAAGTATTTTTCAGATCCATCAACAGTAAATGCACAAGCATAAGGAACAATTGGAACAAATGAATCTGAATCATCACTTGGATCTCCAACAACAACTTCAATAATATATAAACCAGGTAATTGAGGAGTAGGAACTTTTGGTGCAGTTATGGAAAATTTTTCACCAGCCTTAAATGATTTGTCAAAAATTTGTGTGAAAGGGTCACCTAGAGGTTGTCCTGCTGCTAGGTCAGCATACTCAATTTTAAGAAAGGTTTTGCCTTCAGTGAGATCATTTAAGAGTGTTCCAGATACAGTATAATTTTCATCTTGTCCGGATACTAGAGAACCTGGTATTATGTCTACAGTAGGTTCGGTAATACCTCCACATAATTCAAAGTTAATAGCTCTTTTGTTAAATTGAGATGGAGCTGCATTTACAGTAAGAAGAATAGCAAATAAACTTAATACGAAAATAAGCTTCATGATTTCTTTGCGAAGTAGATAAGAATTTTTTTAATTTGGATGTTTTTTGTTGAGATATGATTATTGATAACTTGATGTCCTTTTATAAAAAAAAAGCAGTCTTCGAAATCCATGAAAAACAGCATTTTCGTCATTTTAAAAAAAAAATCAAATAATGGTTAAAATCATCACTCTCATCTTCAGATCGAAACTATTTGAAAATGGTACGTATCAGTTCATAGCAAATCATTAATTACATAGATAATCAATTCATAAACACGTTCATTTTGAAGACAATTAACAATTTATTTCATAGACAATCTTTAATAGTGTCATGGTGATTTACAGTATGCGATGAACTTGTATGGGAATGAAGGTAAAATGAACGAACGATCATTATCTTGTGCACGTGATGCATGTGATAAGTAAGTGATCGATCAGGATTAAGGGATCGAGTAACGATCAATTATGCAATCGAAGTCAGGTAATCAGTATGCATGAAATATGAGGTAATTTATTATTAATATAAAAGTCAAACGATCGTATGATCATATATGAACGAATTATGATGTAAGTAATGTGACCCGAAGTGTGTATATAGTAGAAGCGATTGTAATAATAAAGAGTTAGCTGGAATTAGTCTCTTTCGTAATTAATAAAGTTTACTTAAGTAATAAACATAAAAGTACTTGCCTTAATATAATCTGAAAATCGATCATAGCAAAGCGATTAAGTGCTCGCCGTTTGGACTAGGTTGTTTGTGACGAAAGTCACAGATTAATCTGTGACAATAGTAAATAACTCATGATACATTAGCCCTTTTTGGATAGTTTAATTACTAAAATGATTGACTTGAAGAGATGATTATTTTAGTAATCAAATTATTCAAAATAGATTAGTAGATTAGAAATTATTCTTTGTTAAAGATTATTTAGAGGTAAAATAAAATGCCTATAAAATAAACTGTCTGTAAATTAAATGTTTTCTGTCTATGAATTGATTGTCTATGAAATGATTTTCTATAAAATGATAGTACCCATTTGAAAGCATATAATCATGCAATTTATTTTTGAAATTTGTAGATTGCAGTTCATCTAATTGCTATCCGATTATGAGATTGCGTTTCTTGACTTTTTCTTTCTGTAACGACATTTACTAAAATTATCTCTCAATAATCAGGTGAATGCAATTAATTGTAAAGTGGCAATCTGTTCATTCGCAATAGAGATGGGCAAAATGTTACTTTCTATACCATAAATGCGCATGGTAGCATGCATGCATAAAACCGATCCAAACTGTGAGGGATTATATTCATAACATTGATGGTTAAGTGACCTTTCATTGTGAAATGACTTTTTTATGTGCTGCACACCAGGTGTGGATTAAGTCTGGATCAGGAACGTTTCCTCCTGTTTGCATGCATGTTATATTTAGCACAGTTAAATCTACAGACAATCTTTAATAATGAATAACTTGATGATTTTACCACCAAAATGACCTCTCGATAAGACGATTTCAACGAGTCTAAAATCGTTAAAATCCAATTACAAGAGCTAAACATTTGTTTGATTATCCAATCTGTTTCAGGGGCCAACGGGTGACCCGTCTTGATATTTACCTAGATTAGAGTTGGATACTAATCTTGTATGGGCATATTAATATAAAATTGCTTAGACAATGCGTATGATGCCCATCTCTAGTTGCATATCAATAATTAAGAATGTACGTACAAACAGGCTATAAATGGCATGTGAAAATATTTCTAATTAAATTCGAAGATTTGCGTGGAGAAACTTTATTCTTCATACACATTCATACATGTTGTTTCTGTCATGCATACTTGTCATACAGTACTGTGATTTGTGAAAAAGAAATCAGACTTGCTGTAAATGGCATATATCTAGAGACATTGTGTTACAAGTGTTCGAAATTAGTGTTCTCAGAGTTCTCATGAGAGCATGAATTTAAGTTTGTGAACAGTAAAAATTTTTTACCGTTCACTATTAAAAATTTTTGAGAACAGTAAAATAAAAATAATATTCTCATAAGTAGTATATAAATAGATTATATAAGATTTAATATAGTCGTCTCTCATACAATTATACAGTGGGGTATACAGTAACTTTTTTATATGATATGATTATATAGGAAGATACTATATAGAGGGATGATTGTAAAAGTTATATTATTAAGTTGTCTTTTTTTTCTTTTTTTTTTTTTTTTTTAGCGAACATAAACTATAGTTTGAGACAACTTATAGCTATTTTTCTGTTCTTATGAGAACAGTCATTGAATCTGAGATTTCGAACACTGGTTACAATACTATCACGTTAGCATTGTATTAATATGAATTACTCAAAATTATATCAACATTATACCAAAATTATATGTGGTTATATAATAAAATTCGTAATGAAAATAAATATCAATAGAAATAATTTTATGAAAATTAATTGCAGCCCTAACTGTTTGATAGTTTTGGATAAAATTATAAACTTTCGCAAAGGCCAGTACTATATTTCTACAAACAAATCTATAAAGCTTTAGACATGAAAAAATTTTATAAATTTAAAATTTAGATCCATCGAATGAGATGCTCGAGGACTCTCTAAAAGAAGCAATCATACAATACCTTGGTTCAGCTGAAATTATGTAAATCTTTTCATTGAACTTTGTTTAGAACCTAAATTTGAACACTTATTAAATGAATTTAAAAAATAGCTTTCACAGGTCGAAATAAAGCATATCGGGTCCATATCAGCATTTTTTTAATGCTTAAATCGGGCACCTGTAGGGTTACATCGGCATTAATGCATATCGGTATTCCGATAGCTCTATCGGAATACCGATATGCATTAATGCCGATATGACCCTACAGGTGCCCGATTTAAGCATTAAAAAAATGCTGATATGGACCCGATATGCTTTATTTCGACCTGTGTTTGATCAACACAGCTAATCTTCTGAGATATTATATAAAGGTTCATTTCAAAATGTAGGTATTTTGTGTACCTGAAGGATAATAATTTGTATGACATTAAACAAATGCTTTATGATTCACAACATTCTTTAATTTGAAATAATAGAAATAGTAACCTAATAGATATTTCTATGCTAATCACAATATTAAAAAAAAATTGTCAATTGCATGATAATTATATTCATTTCAAATTAAAGCTTCCAAAATGTTTGAATCAGCTTTTAATTTTCTCTCCTTATTATCTAACTATATTACTATGTTTAATGTCTTATCAATAATTTTTTTAACCATTCTTACGAAAATTTTTCAATATATAATTTATAATGCATATATTTCACCACTTTCAAAAATTCCTGGTCCGAGAATTTCATCAGTTTCTGAAATATTAATAACATTGAAAAGACCCAAAGGTCGTGTATTTGAATGGTTTTATTCAATACATTTAAAGTATGGTGCAGTTGTTAGAGTTGGTCCAAAATTTGTCTTATTTGAAGATTCAGAAGCTGTAAAATTTATTTTGAAAGACAGTGTAATTTAAAATCCACTTTATTAATATGATTGTTGGTCTGTTTAGAAATTGTTTTAGCAATTAATGTCGCAGATCATAATGAAATCGGATTAAAATGAAATGAGGGGTTTCTATTTGACTCCCTAAAACCCACTTATACTTGTTTATTATACAACCTGCTTCTAAACCCTAATCCTAATCCTAAAAAAATGCTAAAAAAAATGCACACAAAAATTTGTATTTTTCGGTGGCTTGTCTATTTCACACTATTTCTCATTTCATTTTAATCTGCCACAATTATTAATTAATTAATTTTTTTTATTTTTTATTTTTTAGGGAATGCCAAAGAATGACTCTATTACAGCGTTTCGAGCTAATTATGAGTTACCAACTTTACTTACTGCCACGTATGTTTTAAAAAATTTATTTAAGCATACATTATTCTATAACTTATTACTTAAGCATTCATCATGGATTTATTCTAATCTTTTTTATTTTTATCGCTATTAGTGACAAGGCGTTTCATAAACAACGTGTAAGCATCCTTTCGTTTTAGTAATCTTTTATTTTTGAATAACATCATTATTTGCTTTGATAATTGAAAATTATTTTACAAATATATATTAAATATAGAAACGCATATTATTACCAGCATTCTCTATAAAATACTTGGCGTCTGTTGAACAACTAATCCAATCCTGTGTAAAAACATTAATCAAAAAAATTGACAAACTTGCAACACCTAATAATTCCTGTAAAGATAATTTACAGATAATAAATCTTTATAAAGTGGTGCAATCTTGCACATTGGATATAATTGGTGAAACGGCTTTTGGAGGATCGTTTAACATCATGGAAAATGGAAGTCATCCGTTACCCACAAAGATAACTGAAGAATTGAAAAGAAGGGTATTGCGACACTCATTTCCTTATCTTAAAAACTTCATTAAGAATGATTCTTGGTATGACGAGGTAAATAAAATTTTATTTTTAAGTAAGATACGTTTAAGTTAATTATCATATTAATTTTATTATTTAATTATTAAAGTTTGTAACAAAAATTATAAAAAATCGATTAGCACAAAAAAATTCACGTGCTGATATTTTAAAAATCCTACTTGATAATCATAAACCTTCATCCGATGGCACAACAATGAGCGAATCCGAAATAAAAGATCAAATTGTTGAATTTTTAATAGCTGGTAGTGATATAAATGCGTTTGCTATCTTGATGGCAATTATAATGTTGCTCAAACATCCTGATAAATTGAGAAAGTTACGAACTGAATTGGAGTCAACGTTTCCCGAATTCCAAAATCGTGTAAAATCGCGTGAACACGAAAATAATCTATTCTTGCCATCATATGAATCTTTAAAACATCTTAAATATTTGGGTGCTGTAGTAGATGAAACATTACGTCTATATCCATCATCTTTAGGTGGCATAGCTCGACAAACTACTGAAGATACAATAATTTCCAACTATTTAATTCCCAAAGGCACAATGGTTTCTGCATCAATATGGAACCTTCATCGATCAAAACAATTTTGGGGTCCTGACGCTGATGAGTTTGTACCAGAAAGATGGTTTAACCTGGATGCGAATATACGAAGCGATGCCTATTTCCCTTTTGGTAGCGGACCCCGTTTATGCATAGGAAATAATTTTGCAACGATGGAAATTAAAATTATTGTATGCGCATTATTAGGAAATTTTGAGTTTTTCTTTACAGAACGCAGTGATTATCAAGTTGTTCAGATTGTTATTCCGTCGTTGAAGAATAATACATTTGAAGTTGGTGTTACCAGGTTGTAACATCTATATAAGCGCCAATTATTAAGTTATAATTTTGCTTAGAATTTTAATTCATAATTATGATATTATTAACAAGATTTATTATAAAAACTTTAAATTTGACTTATTTTCAAAAGGTATAATTATCTTCAGTAAATATAGCAGACAAACTTAGTAGTATAAACTTAATTATACAATTTGTATACATATACTTATATCAACATTCATTTTTTGGATTTGCACAAATCTTATAATTTTAATCCATTTTTTACATTATGAGAAGAATGAGAGCTTTTAACAAGATTCAGGTATGTTGTAAGTGTAAACGGAATTTAAGTGGATTCGGAATTTATATATAAAACCACCGTTCTGGGTTGATTTTATCATATTTACACCCTAACCCTAATTTAACTTACTTAAATTCAATCCCCACTTACAACGGGTACATACAAACACAATAAGATATATATTTCAAAGAAGCTTTTTTATATATTTAACTATAGGGTTTTAATCATGTTTGGTATTATATGATTGAAATCCTTCCGGATCTTCTATAATTTTTCTAACTCTAACAATTGCATTGCAAAATATATAAATCAATCTTAGTCTTTGATCTTGATTATTCTTGTGATTAAAAAATATTTGTCATGTCTGAAATTAACACCTGCCTGAAGTTACAAATGAAATAATACCTGCCAACTTCACAATTTCAAATGTAATTGTTATGTATTGCTTTGTTATTATTAATTAATCTCCTATACTGGAATTGTTGTCTTTGGCATTTATGACTTTTTAATAAGATTATATGTTCAAACTTTCTAGCCATTTATCATGATTTCAAATTACTGTGATCATTAAATTTCATATGTCACACACATCGGGAATCTTAATGCAAATATAAAAAATTCTAAAAATGAAACCTTTTTTTCAAATCATCGTGCTTTCGCACTAAAATCTTCAAACTTTCTAAATTTACAATCTTTTTTTTTTGCAAATAAATCTAAATTTCTTGCCTATAAATAAAATTTTCTAAATTTTTCTTTATTCCCGCTTTCTGATCCTGTACATGGTAATATACAGGAACTGATTATTTGTATTGCTAAATAGTGATGGGAATCTTAGACTTGTTTTCGAATCAAAATAAATAAAATTGAATAATGCCAGATTGTTTTTTACTACATAAAAAAAATCAGATAAAAGCACCCTGAAATTACATTAAATAGTATAGAAATTCTATTTTTCCCATTATCTTCCTTATTTTATTTGTTTAAATTATTTTTTTATTTTCAATTTGATTTTATTTTTTTATAAAAAACACTTTTTGAAATTGTAAGAATTCAAATTACAATAAATTACAATACAATATACGAATTATTATACTTTACAAATTGCTGTGACCACACATAACGCAACAATCTTTAAATTTAATAAAATTTAATATTGATTTTACGAATTGCTAATTAAAATAAAATGACAATTTTTTACAATAGTGTAACATCCATTAGTATTTATAACTAGATAAAAGGTTTAGTTTACTTCACTTAAATCTTTACAAACCTTAAGCGAAAGCATCAAAATAATGTCTTGTCCATTTTGATATTTGAAGCTATTTTCAAATTATACGAATTAATAGAATTCAAAAATGATCCCATAACATTGAATAACAAGTTATAATTGGCTATTCATACATCATATGCAACTAATCAAATTACATTATAGTAAACTTTATAGCTTTTCACTATAACAAAAATATTTTTTAAATACATACCGCACCTTTTATACTGAACTAATATAATGTTTAAAGAACTATTGTTTATTATACACAGAGCACGTTATGATTAGACTCGTTAGAGCCTGTAGACATATAAAAAGTCTTAAATACTATACTGTATATTATAACTTAAGTATTAATGATCTCTATGTTTTTGTTTTAAAACTTCTTTATTATAGTTTATAAATCGCTTTATCTATTTCTAAAAAAGGGCTATACTATTGGTTCTTTTTTTCAATAACTCGGCTATACATAGAAATTTCACCTTCTAAGTAAGGTATCTCTAGGTGTGGCATCATTTGTGCATCGTAACTGTTAATGCTTCTTCGAGGATAGAGACGGATTTAATTTTTATAGAATATTACATTCTTAAAAAGTACTTTAAACTGTATAAATACAATTGAATGTGATTGACCAATCAGAGAAAGTTATCCAAATAATGATTAACGATAATTATTGTTGCGGATGATGCTGAAATCAAAGATATGTATAGAATTTTATGCCGCAGTGCTGATGTCTTCCTTAACGAACGTTAACACGTTGAAAAACGTTAAATGGTAAAAATGGATGATGCTGAAAATCACGTGATCACATGATGTTCTTCTGCATAAACACCTAACATTACTATTGCCGTCGGTGTTAGAGTTAGGGTTAGGGTATGGAAGGTTTTTTTTTATTTTACATACATTACATCTAATTTCACTAGGGTAATTAATTAGGGGTAGCTGCACAGCGTGTGACGTGTGCAGAACCAGTACGATCTCTTGTGAGTTCAAAACTCAAAAATAATTTATCAGTTTACAACCAACCCTATTATTTCAGTCTTAAAAAAAATTGCACAAATATAAAAAAAAATCAATTTAGCACAAATATAAATAAAAAAATAGGCCATTATATGTAATTACTCCCAATTGTAATTCTGTGACATGTGACTCTGAAATTCAGAACCTGAAAGTAGATTGAAACCCAGGCGCACTTGAATAGTAAAGCTCATTATAGTAAATATTAGTAGAAGGGATCAAAAGAAAATAAATATAAACAAATTTGTCCAACAAGCCTTAAAAAGACATTAGAACTAGTCTTGTGACTGCTGAAGTATTGAAAATATCTTATTCTTGAATCAAATAAACCATGTCTTAGTCAAAACCTACCAGTTAGTATAGAAGAAATAGATTTTGTAAATTATATATTAAATTTTTGTCTAACAAAGACCTTTATTAGACTAATTTTATTTTTTACCATTTTTACTGTCAAAACTATCACTGCTTGTGTGAACCTGGACACCAAACAATCTGTCTTCACATTTCATTACAACTCTGGTGCCTATTCACTAAATAAAAAGCCTTACATCGTTATTGTCATTGAGCCTGCTTATAAAATAATAGGTCCTTTCACTGCTGTTGTATTAGAGCCTAATTTAAGGTTCCACATTGCTCTTGAATAAGATTTAGAATGGACTGGTTTGCTGGCTGGCCCATTCTGGACCCTACACTCATAACTTCATTGTCTAATTACTAGGGTCATACACTTTTGAAAAATGTATTCAGGCTTTTTCCAGATTACTGTTTCATTATCGTTTCAAAATGCATATTTTCAAAACAAAACATATATAAATTCTCAATTATTCCATATAATCACAGTAATTTTCAGATAAAAATTAAATCTAAGTAAGATCCAGCTTCTAATCATTTGTATTTCATTATAATTGGAAGCCGAATCTATTCGGGATTTGATTTTTACCCAGAATTTATTAGGATTCTATGAAAATGACCAAAAATTACATATGCTTTGTTTCGAAAAATAAGCAATTTCTGAATCGATAATGAAACTATAATCTGAAGAAAGCTGTGATACATTTTTTAAAATTTTTATAGAAGCATACAATTGTTTGTGCCTGTTTTGCAAATCTAATTAAAAAATTTTCTTATCATTATATAAATTGCAAGAACTGGTGCAACTATTAGTGCAATATGAAAATAAATGTTTTTTCAAAAATAGCTGATAACTTAAAATTCTGCTAAGAAATCACCTTTTACATTCTATATATTAAAAAAATTCTGCAAAAATTTTAGTTTATTCTAAGCTTACTCTAGCTCCAATTCTATCTCTAATATCGTGATCCTTACATAAAAATAAAAAAATATTTTTGAGTTTGTATTACTAGTGCAAATAAGTAAATCTAAGCTTAACCACTAAGAAACAAATTCTTTCGGTGCTGATCATCAAATAAAAGCTCTTGCATCGCTATTATCCTTATATTGTATTGCCAAGGAGTTCATAACAAATACAAGGCTTCTGCTTTTCTCTTCTAGCCTCAAAGTTTAATAAAGGTCCTTGCACTATAATTACTGTTGAGCTTAATTACCAAACAAAAAGTCCTTGTACTGCTATCACCATGGAGCTTATTACCGAATGTGAGAGGCTTTGCATTGCTATTACAGCCAAAAAGCTAAACAAGCAATTCTTGCACTATTATTACAAATTTGGTGCCTAATTACCGAATATGAGGTCACTGCATTGCCTGCAATAGTCACAGTGACAATTGCACTTATCAACAACTAAGCAAATAACAATACATTATTATCCTTAGTTAGGGAAGATAGCTTTATCATAATCATAGTAATTTGATTTTAACGATTACATGTAATGAAAACATTAGCCAGAAAAATATCTACATTTAATGAGAAACCGTAAGGACCATGGCAGAAAAACATAAAGGTTGAAATGAAAATTGAAGATGTGATTCTGTAAAGTCAATCAATTTTGCAATTGTGGTTCATGATAATTGTTTATCACAAAGAAATCTGAAAATTATAATGCTTTTTTATGCCACATTTCATCGACACTTATGTACTAACAAGCTTATTTTACAGACAATTTATTCACAGTCAAATTCTATTCCTAAACAGCATATTTTATCAATAGCTCATATCACAATTCTAATTCCATTAATTCTCACAATATTGATTAGATTTACCTTGCAAATAAGCTGTTGACAAAATAAATTGTTTGCGAAAAAAACTTATCTGTAACTTAATCACCTGTAAAATAAGCTTGTCAGTGAAATGAGTGTCAGTGAAATGTGTTGTCTTTGATGTCAATTTGAGTCATATTGATAATCTTTGAAATTAATAATCAGTAACATCAACTTTGCACCATATTAAGTGATCTACATATGGAATAATATCATACAGTATGTAAAAATCTTAGCTCGTTCTAAAAATGAATAAATGAAATCATTACTCCTGCTAAAAAAAGGTTTTGCAAAAATCAACATAAGCACATTTCATGTTACACATAAAACATGATCGTACTGGTAAATATAGACCCTAACTCTAACCATTAAAAAGTGGAATTTTTTTAGTTGGTGATGTTGGTTCTATCATCCGTTTTCAGGAGTCCTTAAAGCGGGGCAGATCACGTATTATTAGGGTGGGAAATAACTACCCCAGTATCGCCATAAAATTTTTACTGTCACGTGATGATCTTTGGTAGTTTATCCAATAGCGAGCCTCGCTTTGATGTAACGTTACACGATCAGAAAGATCAAAACAAAACGTTCGTTTTTTAAAAATCGCTTATTTCGGGCATTTTTACTATATACTAGCTAACGTTTAACTCTATAATAAGCACCAACCCTAACTTAAACGAACTTCGACACTGTCATGTGACAGTAAAATTTTTATGGCGATACTGGGGAAGAGAAGATGGTGGGAAATGGCTTATGATCTACAAACATAGTTAAGATCATATATTAAATTTTAATAATGAGGATTTTTGTCGATCATCATTTTAATAACAAAAACATATAAATTTCAAACTGAAATAACTCCTGAACTACTTAAGATATGCGAGTAAAATTACCTTTATTAGATTCCTCTTAACATTCTCTTTAAAGTAATAGAGCTCTTTTTTTATTGTCCTAAAATTAATCATGTTTTATAATCAGTTTTCGCTTTAACTTTTATTGTCCTAAAATTAATCATGTTCTAGTAATCAATTTTCGCTTTAACTTACATGAAAAATAAAAAAAAGGGCTCTATTACTTTAAAGAGAATGTTAAAGGAATCTAATAAAGGTATTTTTACTCGCATATCTTAAGTAGTTCAGGAGTTATTTCAGTTTGAAATTTATATTTTTTTGTTATTAAAATGATGATCGACAAAAAATCCTCATTATTAAAATTTAATATATGATCTTCCATTTCCCACCCTAACGTGTTATGCCGTTTTTCTTTAACATTAGGGTTAGGGTCACTTTGGGTTGAGTCAAAGATGGTTTTATAAGCAAAATTACCTTCTCGACATTTTTTATTAATGCACCAAGATAGGTTTAGACTACCATTTTTGGTGTTTTTCGCTTTTTTATCTTTTTTCGCTTGTTTTGCTTCGTCGGGCTGATCCGGGTTTATCAAATTTTGACGATCCGATTGGCTAATTATTACGTAATCTGCCCGCTTTAAGGGACCCCGTTTTCAGCATCATCCGCGACAATTATTTAACGATTTACAGTACATCCTTATTATGACATAACGATTTACATCCGTGTTATGACATAACGACATCCATGCCTAGCTACTACCTTTTTTACGTAAGGTACGACGGGTTTACTAATTTTCCTACCACTTCTACCACTCTGATAGGTTCTACTAATTATTCACATATCGGAGTATCTACCTTATTAATCAAAATTAGTAAACCCAGGTACGATCAGTGTACGATCAATGGCATTAATATTTTACTAAAAGGTATATCAAATACACAGTATTTTTCTTATAATACTTTACCATATGCTGTATGTACGTTAGATCATACTATGAAACGTCTTTTAGCTTTTTAGTTAGTCTCTTATCTATATTTAAAAATATTTTGTACTTCTTTTAGTTTTTACTTGATTTTTTGCGAGATATATGAATTGTTTTAAATAAGAATATTTCATTATCAATAATTAGTATTTCGCCATATTTAATTATTAGTTTGGACTGGGTGACAAACCACCCATATGTGCAATTTTTAATAGTCATTGTAATTTTAAATCTTCATTGGATTCAATTTATTCATATCAATTTAGAGATCTATATATTTTCCAAAGTGCATTACACTCTTTATAAATTAATTGATAAAATCATGTGAAAATTTCCATTTGTAATAAAATAAAGAGATTGAACTAGATAGCTGCGAGGCGTTATCGCGCAAATCAGGAACGAAAACCTAAAAGAGTTAAATATAAACTTGACTGCTAGATAAAATCCCTAATTTCTCCAACCATTTGGCATGTGTAAATGTTTTCATTGAATAGGCAAGGTGTATTGTCTGAAAATCAATCATTTGTACAAAATTTGATTATAAGACTTTTAAAACTTAATTGTGAAACAGATTATGAGAAAAGGAGTAATTATGGATTCAGGTGTGGAAGAGATGGGCAAATTGAGCATTTTGCCGATCACCATGCAGACTACATTGCAGGTAAAACATATTAATCATTCACATTGCAAACTGAATGGGAGGATCGTCGTACACTCTGCAGAAGACACCTGCCGGGTGCTCTAGAAAAACACCATAGCTAGACTTAGGAGAAGAAGAAACGTACCAGCTCAAGAAACAAGGGCAACAGCCCTGGTCCCAAGGAAACGACACTTAGTAGACACGTTAAATAAGGACAGCACAAAGAAAATGAAGAAGGTCCATAACACGCGCCAAAAGGGCGAAGGAATGCCAATTGTACTTCAAGCGACAATGCCCGAAGGTACAAACGCGCAAGTAGATGCTTTTCAAGCCAACTCTGACACAAACACGACGGACTCGACGTCCCAGGACTGGTTAGAGATTATGGAACGCGAAGCAGCAGCAGAAAACCAACAAGTTCCACCTGAAGACAACAATTTCCGCAAGGAAAATTCTACGGCTACAGACATAGAAGGTTCTGGCAATCTGTGTGACGATAGGGCAGGTGAGACGACCTCACATGACCTGCATTTGGGCACCAGTCATACAAATGTAGTTGCAGAACCAAGCATCGAAGGAAAACCTAAAAATAAGACACATTCTCAGGAAACAAAATCGTGGTCAGGTCTTTTTACAAAATTAACTAGGGGAAGGGCAACCTACTCCACCTTCTCCCCCAGAGCCAATATAAGTACAAAGAACAGAAATGCACTCCTGTTTGATATACAGAGACTTAATCAAATCTCTACTAATGACATAGTGGCCACACTTTACGGCAAAATGGGAGGGGACTTTATAGGGGCCAAACCACATTTTGTCAAAGGAACCCGTATGTACTTAGAAATCATATTCACGGACGAACAAAGAATGAGAGAATACGCAAAAAAGGGGATAGATATGTTTCAACAAACCTTCTATGGCCACATCTCATCTAG